ACTGACGACGATCGAATTTTTGACGACGCAATCGAATTTTTATCGTCTGTCCCAAAACGTACATAAACATACTACTACTCTCAATTACATTCGCAGATTGTCTTTATTATTCCAAATACAAACTGACATACAGCAATTGTATATAGTTAATTAGATGCAATTTATTAGTATTAACTGTTGTGAATAAACTCAAAACTTTGTAATTGAAAGAAAACAATAAAGAAAGTTTGAATATAGATGAGGGTCCAAAACTGAGTTGTCTGGGTTCTGCACTCAGGTACAACAAGTCTAAACACAATATTCCTAACACACTTGTCTTTCAAATCAGTTCTCTGACCATTCCCTCCCCCAAGAGTCTGATGCTTCACAGACAGGTAGTGTCATCCAGCATGAATAATATTGCTGATACAATGAATGAATTGACCCAAAGTTACTGTATTTCGAAAATAACACTCTTGAGATACAACCAGTTGCTGAACTATCTGCAGTGACAAGTGGAAGACAAAGCAAGAGACAACTTGAAGATGACAATTCTGATAATGGTAATAAGTTTTGTTTTTTATACCTATTAGCAATGATTAATTTTTATTGTAAATAGGTGATATTAATAAACAGCACAGAGATTGGAGTCATGTCAAAATGTTTGCTCTTATTGAGGTTGTCAGTTTGATTGGAAAATCACTGAATGAAAAAATAATGAATACAGAGAATGCATGAAGCTGGCAAGTAATGTTTGACAAAATTTTCAGAACAAATTCAAGGATGTACATTATGGGAGTTTCAAGAAAAGGTATTTTCTTATTTACTATTAATCTAATACTAACATGCCGTTATTTGTTAACTGATAATATAATGTTCAAGATGGGCAAGACTGGTAGAAGATTATAAATTGTTTCTGGATAATAACAAGAAAACAGGGGCTGAACCAATAGAATTGACTATGAAGAGGAAATGCGGGAAATTCAAAGATGACCCAGTTTTTAATCCAGTTTATGATACTGAAAGTAGAGAACAAAAAAATTCAGCACCAACTTCCTCTGTTGTTCTGCTAATTTCGAGACTCATTACCACCAAACTTTAATTTTTTCAACTTATTTTTTCCAAGAACAAAGAGAGAAAGAAGAAGAAAAAAAGGAGAGCAGCATGCAGAACTGCTGACCCTAATAAGAGACTTGCATGAACAGTCTCTGCAACAAACAGCAGTGTTTTATGACAGACTGTTGCTGAAAATATATGGTTTGATCAACGCAAATGAGAAACAAATAATAAATTTATTCTCTGTTGTGAACAGCCGATTTTGCTGTTTGCTACGGAATTACTTAATTGGTCAAAATTCCACCCCGAGTATTTTGGATCGG